CTGTTAGTTGCGAACATGTTGTTAGGAATGTCCCTCGTCATGAGGCAGTGCCTCGATCAAGTCCTTTTCCCAATTGGGAAAGCGATTACCGGCAGTTTCTAGACTCCACCGAAAGATTTTGGGGCACCCAAATGGCAATGCCTATATCTCGCAAAAATGAGATCTAGCACCTGCAGTTAGCGGTACCCTTCAGCGCGACAGAACACTTCAGCTTGAACCTGGAGATTAATGTTTGCCCAAGGGGTTGCTTTGGATGCGGTGAAGCGATTCTGTGAGATGACGCAACAACCCTATCTAGCCCCCTCCTCGAGCCGTCGCTATGCCCGCTAAGCGTGGAAGTCGATTTGCCGAGCTTCTTAAACCTTTATGGTTCGGGTGTAGATGTAGCTTCTCAGATAGGGCTACATGCCTCAACCTCATGCGTTTAGGGCTTTTATACTTCGGCATCAAATCTGCTCTGTTACCCATGTGGGTCTTAATTTGGGCGATCTAACCACTCGTTTCAAATTCGAATGCAGCGATTTTAATCTGATCCCGTTGTTCAAGTATGTATTCGTCTGGTGGCGCTTTCATTTATGGTCGCAGAATTAATCAATTCGTAAAGTCGACACTGCTCTCCGAAAACGCGCTCTCCTACTAGGGCAGGTAATGTGGGTATGGCCTGAAATGATACTGAGCACTCACTTGTTAGTTCCGAGATCGTAGTTGCTATGGTGGTCATGGCATCACTTGTCGCTGAAAACGGGATGATTACCCATAAATTGAAGCAGCTTCACACGGACGGTTTGCTGATCATCGATGAACAGGGTCAGTAATTGTAAGTATCCAGCACAGGTTTGTGCGGAGTACAATTAGCCCCTCTAAGGCGGATTCCTTCCCAGGGGAAGCCCCAGTGTTACCAAGCTGAGAGCACGCCACAATTGTACATGTGAATAGACTGACCATATTAATCGAATATCAATTGGACGGTTGAGATGGCACAGTTCATCCCCAGTTCTGGCAGTCGTTGCTACCTCCGCGCCACTTGAGAACTACCACGGGAGGAGGGCGGAGTGAGGAGGAGCGGTGGATATCTGGTCTTGCAATCTAGATTTATCGTCTAAGTCTAGATTGTAAGCCCAGGCGCCCAGATATCCGCTGTTCTTGAGTTAAGTGGTCCTTGCAGGCTGAGAAAGGTGGGAGAAAGGAAACACTATGTCGGTAAACCTCCAATTTATTGTACTCTCAGTTCCAGGGGCCCCGTTATCGACGAGCCGTTATACGCTTTTAGATGCCCAAGGGCTCTTCTTTGAAGGTAGCAGTCGAATGGGAACTCAGTACTGGTTTCCAAGTGCACGCGCACGGTGCAGCTATGGTAGCAGCCTAAACTTGGTTCTTATTGAAATGAAAACCAACCTGCACCCTCACCTCCAGTTGCATCTCCACCGCCTCCGTCGGTCGCCGCCTCTAGAAATGAATTTGGTTACCGATGGCGAAAATTAGTTCGAGTGGTTCAGGTATTTATTATGAACCTGGTCAGAAATAGGTGTGATCCCACATGGGAAGGTCTTGAATCAGGTCAGGGTAGGGCTAGTTTTTCAGCACGGGTAGCTTCGTCTTAGTAATCGTCGCGACGTCGTTCATCACTCTCTAGCTACAGATAGTTCTCTTCCTTTCAGTGTTCCCTGTTCCCTCTACAACGGTCTACGTTTCCAGTGTCAGTCCCCGTAGTTGAGATACTTGGCAATCTTCACGTCCAGCCAGAGCATCTTCTCCCCTGCTACTGCTTTTCTGCATTTACCTCCTTTGAGCTCACTCCTGCTCCCTGGCAGCGTGCAGGGAGCAGGAGCATCAAGAGATGTGCGTTCCGCATCTTAGAGTCGTCATAAATGATCCGCTTCAGAGAGATCAGATGTTCTGGGAGGTTTCATTCTGTAAGCACTTTTCACAGGGCCGGTGGTGGAAGGCGATTGGATGCTTTATGTGGATTTATCAGATCATGGGTGAATGAACTATTTATGGAGCAGTATCATCAGTATCAGACATCATTCGATCGTCTCTCCCGCCACCGGTGCTCTGGGAATTGGGCGGCTCTTTTGGTGGTACTATGACATTACCTGCCTGACTGTGGATGTTAGGGACCTCCCGAGTATAAGGCCGAATATCATCTGTTAGATTTTGAACTGGTCCTCCAGTTCCGAAGCGTCTAACCGTTCCCTCAGCTTCGTGATTTGCGCAGTCAACTTGATCTCGCAGTAGTCAGAACAGTCCACCGCACGCCCTATCTCTCTGAAGAGGGGCACGGCAGCTGTGTTCGTCTGAATACCCGGCATCTTCCTCTGTGTGGGAAGGGTGTTCAGGAAACGAATGAGCACCTTTATCTTGGTCTCCAAGGACCTTCCGCCTAATTTAATAGGCTGTGTTTGACTTCGCCTGGCTTCCTTGCAATGACACAGTTACTGTTCCTATAGCTTTCATGACCCTAATCCTAGAGTTGGTTGGCGCCGCGCCTTAGACTGCCGGACTAGGAAGTTCTTCAGCACTTCACCATCGCGCTTCTGGGCAAGATGTTCAAATTCATGTTCCTTGGCTTGCCCACAGATTCAATTATGAGCCTCTAGCTACTTCGTGGGACCAATTTTTCAGAAGTTTTATTCTTCTAGCGAAGTTCCTATGGATCCCTCTTCTGCCTCACTACGCTTCGGACTTCTCAGGATGCACATTTGATTTCATCCAGAGCTACCTCTTTTATTAGAGGGAGTGCCGACGCTGCTTCGTTCCGGATTTCGTGGACCATTCCTCGATGATCCGATATTTCTGTTCTCAGTACCTGTCGTCTAACGTTGTCCTTGCTCTCAATACCGAAATCTTTGGTTAGTTCTTGCGCTCGTTTATCGGAGACTGTTACGAATTCGAGAGGCCTGTGCTTGAAAGCCATTTTCACCCTCTCTGTCAAAGCCCTTAAGGATTTTGACGAACGATTTTATATGGACGCATGATTGCACAGCTATAGACACCTTTTGGGTCTCCTTCTTTACAGAGAAGGCCTTTGCTAAGTTATGGACTCTGGTCAGACCTAGACTTTCTCCGCTCAGCTGACCACAGCCCACGACTTTCTTTGCTCGGCCTGACCACAGGCCACGACTTTGTCCCGTTGTGCATCCCTTATTCTCATTTCTCTACCACCATGACCTTCCCCAGGCTCTTTTTCTCACTGTCAACCTGGCCATTTGAACCACTTACCAAGATGAGATGATGACCTTGTATTATCCTAGTGTCGAGTGTTTTTAAGCATGGATAATCAACATTATACTGTGATTGGTATCCGTTATCAGAGCCGTATGAGATCGTACTACACCTTATATTTCATGCCTTCAACGTTGTACTGTGGTCGCACCCTTCTATGAATCCCATATTCTTTAGCGTCTTCACCGCGTTTCATGAAGATCGAAAGCCTTCATGTTCCTGCGCGTCATCAGGGAAGCATCCTCTTGATACTTGACAGTTTGCGATCTCTAGTTCTGAGTCCTGTGTCGAACAAGCTTCTTTGAACAATTCCCTTAACGATACCTTCGCGTCAAGACCACAGAATTCGCCACTGGGCGAGGTCCGAGCTCTGTACTGTGATTGATGAGCTACTACAGCTCTGCAGGACAGCCAGATTGTATGTTCGTCATGGAAGGAAACTAATGGAACCTTATACCTTACCAGTTGCGGCTTCAGTTGCTGCCTCGGTTGCCGCATCCGATGCTGCTTCGGATGCCGCATCGGATGGCGCTTCGGTTGCTGCTGCGGTCGCTGCCTCGCTAGCTGCATCGCTAGCTGCCTCGGTCGCTGCATCGGACGCTGCCTCGGACGCTGCTCCGGTTGCTGCCTCGGACGCTGCGTCGGACGCTGCCTCGCTTGCTGCCTCTGTAAAAGGTGGCAATCACCGTTAGCTCAGATCAACTCGGATAGGTGAGTAAGTGGAGAGTCACCACTGGATCCAGCTTCAGGGGAAGGGTCAGCCATAGTTCTGAAGGATGATTGACGAACAGGAGTTGTTGAAGTTGATGAAGTTGAAGAATCAGAAAGAACGGCTAACCGTCTCCGAAATGTATACGAGCCGAATTGGGGCTAAATGCGGAGGAGAGCCCTTTTAAAGTGCCTATCTGGACTGATATTAGGGATACTTCTGAGAGTAAACAATTTCGAGTACTATACTGGACTAGAAATAAGCGAGGGATCGGCAGCAAAAGGAATTCTTTTTTTGTTCCTAAAATAACTTTTGACCTTTTATTTGAAGCTATTTTCTAATACGAATGGGTTCTCTTTAAATGACTAATGGGACTCCGACTCCTCTCGTGCGGTAAGCCCCATGGGAGGATCCCTTTGGAAGGTTCTCCGCGGAATTGAGCCAGAATTTCATTGAAGATCGGGTCTAGAGCGAAATTTAGACCAGGGAGCCATGGAGGATAAAGTATTTCAACCGATCTCGTTTATGGAATGCGCCACAGCATCCAACTTCCATCGAAGTCGTAGTAGCGTTTGAATGCGTAAATCACTTATACAATGAATTGCGGTGGCTAGTTAATGTTCACATCACTCTTTTATCCTCGCAGACGACTCTGGCGCCCATAAATGGATCCCGCAGGGATGGGTGGTTGCCCCGGGCGGATATTGATCTGCGCTCCGAGTATGAACTATGCGTATGTGGTAGCGCACAAAAATAATTATACAAAGCATTTATTCAATTCACATTTAATAATCACCTACAAATCACTTAATGCGTGGACACTAATAAGTATAAACGCAAGTTCTTCCACATTGTTCAACAACATCTCTGAGCAATATACGCTGCATTGCGCAGAAGGGGAAAGCTCTACACGTCAACGACGACGTGGTCATGAGATCAATTCTAAGGGATGTGATCATGATTGAGAGCTAGAAGCTTAGAAACAATCGAAAAGCGTTTCTCAAAGCATTTTTTGAGCAAAACAAAATCCTCTATGGGAACAGATATGAAGGTAATTCAATGCAGAGCAACACTTGTTGAGAGAGTCTAGGGTCAGCGAAGAATCGAGGAATCTGACTGTTGGATTGAATCTTCCGGGATTGATCCGTGTAGTTACGGCAATCGACCAGTCAGATTTGGCTCACCTGAAGCGTTGTTGGGGAGTAAACGTCAAGAAAAGACTTGAGGCACGGTTAAGCTGGGGGAAGAGCTTGATCCGACCACCCTTTCCGTCTTCCCAACGGTTTTCATAGGGGCACACGGGGAGGGGCAACCTGAAATTGACCTTATCTAGCCCTTGTATAAGCTCATAGCTTCTCTCTGAGATACGAAATTGGGTCCTAGTCCTAATGGGCATGTCTTAACGAGCACAGCTAACTCACTGGTGACCCTGATCCGGGATTCAGAATTAGGATTGGTGAAAATAGGCTTTGGAACCCACTATTTCGTGCTAGCTTCCATCGGATGGAACGAAATCGGAATTCTCTACTTAACACAGTCAGATTAGTGTAGAAAGCCAAGTTGTGCTGGTAGGTACAACCATTCTGTGCGGCCTACCTAATTCAGCACATTAATGCACCCATCGAAAACTAGGATTCGGGCCAGGCTTCTCCCCATTAGGTTCTGGTTGACATATGTCACTGCCGTCGGCGCTTTGAAAAAACTCGCCGCGCAGCTTCAGTATCGTTTCAGGACCTTTCATATCCAATACGGGTCCTGAGACGACTATCCGAGGCTCCTTCGCGCCTCACAATCTAGTTGTGACGAGTCGGCAGTCTTGGAGTTCTACCGCCCATACCTTCTGGTACCCAGATACTGTCTTCATCCCCGTCGTCGCGAAGGCGAGTTTTGGATCAGTTCCAAACAACGCTTTAGGCTGCTTTGACGAACTTTTTCCGAGATGAAAGTACTGCCGATCTCTAGTGTCGAACTGCATTGAAACAGTACCTAACGAGAAATACGTTTGAGTGTAAACGCCGAGGAATTGAAAAAGAAAAAAACGATAACACATTCTAAGGCACAAGAATTTAGACGCGTTCCAGAGCGAGCCTTGACCGCGGTAACTCACATAATAGTTTTCCTTTCGTCAAAATAGGGTTCCAGTGGCTAGTGGATTCATTCCCCGAAGTTAATCGATTATTGATTTTATTGGGCACTACATTTGGCAGTATTTTAGAGCTACGAAACCCCTGTCAGCTGTATCCCGAAAGCCACTCCAGTATCATCCGTCTCACGGTCAAAGTTCGCTCTCTAATTGTCACCGAGGTGGCGGTCGCGGCGGTGGACCTCGGTTATATCGTGGCAAAGCAACGTCGTTCTCGTTGCAAAGCACCGGGAATCGGGACGGTGTCACAGCGGCAGCAGCAGCGATGTCGTCCCGGTTGAATCCGCTAATGTCGTGATTCAGATGGACGTCGTGTCTGTATCCACGCTGCGTCTTCCCATTGGCGATGGCACGTCGTTCACGTAGCATTTTGCGTAGACGACGTCGTTTACGCCATTGGTCGCAGCACACACAGATGAAGATGATTGCCATCAGAGCGATGAAACCACCCACTGAGCCAGCGATGATTTCTCGTGAGTAACCTGCAAAAAATTTGTAGAGTAGTGTTCTCAAAAAGGATTTTGTTTACACAATAATGTATTTCGTTTGCCCAGGCTTAAACACCGCCAACACGGTCAACGAAATAGAGCGTTTATAGTCTTCTTTATGACTTTTTCCAATATCTTCACGAGGCGCGTCTACTCTTCGCTATTTGTCCCACAATCCGCGCACTTCTAGCTAATGTCTGCAGTGCGCGTCTGCTATTATTAGGTTGTAACATAAGTTCGTAGAGTTTTGCGTTGGAGTTATTTTGCAACGATTTGTTTTGTTTTTCAGCAAAGTGTATACATTCATTCGAAAGAGCTTTTTCTCCTCTACAAAAATGTTTTATCCGTTTTTTGGGGAGTTTAACTGTTCGTCTTTTTTCTGGCTCAGAAATGGAATATCTAGGAGGAAAAAATCAGCATTTTCGACATCTGCTTTTCTTGCCGAAGCAGCTCGGGAGATATGCAGTGTGTACAGGGAAGGTAACTTACATAGGTGTGTCTACTGCACAAAAATGGTTCGCAAAGCTTGAAATAGGCGACTTTAAACTTGAAGACACGCCTCGAAGCGGACGACCTGCAGAATTCGACTAAGAGCGTCTGAAGGCACTATTGAAGGAATATGGTCGCCAAACAATTCGTGTATTGGCTGATTATTATAATAACTTATTTAATAATTTATTATTGCAATTATTGCTTTTTGTTCAGAGAAATCTTTGTGAAAAACTCTACGAACTTATGTTANAAGAGCGTCTGAAGGCACTATTGAAGGATGATGGTCGCCAAACAATTCGTGTATTGGCTGACTATTATAATAACTTAATTAATAATTTATTATTGCAATTATTGCTTTTTGTTCAGAGAAATCTTTGTGAAAAACTCTACGAACTTATGTTACAACCTAATAGATAGTTATGTCACTGCCTGCCGTGTCTCAATTTTCTAGTTATGTCGCCTCTTCTCGCCCGGCTTTTTGTCGTAGGAGGAGGTTTCCTTATGCACACTGTTTTGGATGGCTGGGAAATATATGGTTCATTCCTTTTGGAATGCCTCTCCCCAATAAATTCGAACTTTATGAGGCCCCCGATTGCATTGATTGATTTTTGATTGGGAACAGTGAGTAGAAGGCGCCGCTCCTATACACATGCTCTGGGTAAGCAGAATGAGATCTTGGAACTGATTCCACTGGGGCAAAAATCACACCTCTCCATGGTGGGCTCAGGAGGGTGTAAGACTCCATACTCAAACTCCCACGGTTGCACGCGTTCTAGCGGATCATCTTGTCTCTACCGCCACACCCTATCCCTAAGTTCCTCTACTAGTGGGAATGAAGCGGGATCAATTCAAGTAGATAATGAAATGAGTTCTAAGGAATTATGTATAGCCTGCTAAATATTTTTTTGATCAGCAAGCTCGGCTACTTACAATGTTGTTCGTCGCTGTCATCCCCTTCGACGCAATTTTGCACACCATTACATACAAGCGACGAATGAATGCACAGTTGTGGCCGCATAGCGCATACACCTTGATCCTGAAATTTGATTTTTAATAGGGGCTAAGTTCATTCAATCAGCAAAGGTCTGACCTGCTCAACGCAAATCTGACCCCCCTGGCAGGTGAACTGAGTGCATGTGTTGTATTGGTTGGCTCGACGATGCTGATCAGATGATGAAGAACCAGACGAAGGTTGATGGAGCTCGTCGAAAAGGCCTTCGACAGCCGTCCAAATTAGCTGTAAGGTAACGAATAGGGATAACAACTGGAAAACTGTTCCTGAAGAGACGTACCTTGAATCCAACTCGTTGGCCAGTCACCGATGACGACGGTCGATCTTTGGTGTTGAGCCTGAAATTGGCATGAATCGAGTCTACTATTAAAATCCGTTTCACCTAGAAAAATGTATTTGTACGATAGCTAGATTTGATAGCATTTGACAATCATTTTCTCTTTCTTCGTAGCTCCCTTTCCGGAGGTGGTGTAGTGGCAAGTGGTGCACTTTCACACACGCATGGTCACGGGTTTGAATCCCGGATTGATATCCGCCTAGATCAACCAAAGCCTTTTATCTCTCCGAGTCGATTAAATGGTACCATACTCGTCTGGGAGGATAAAAGCACTGACTTATACAGTTGACATGGGCCGGCCACCGCAAAGCCATTTTATAGGCCACATACGCATTCAGTACGCCCTATGATTATGAGTTGAAGTCGAATGCGGGGAACCCTCAGATCAGAATGATCAACGCCTGAGGACTTCAAAGATTTTTGAATCCCTTTACTTTCCTGTCTTTCTGCTCAAGCTACTTGAAGTAGAAGAGGTTTTACAGAAGATGGCTAATCCATCATTTTTACGGACATTCAGTAAGCTGCCAGTGGCACGCTGGATTTGGACGAAGCCACTTGTGCTTCAGCCCCGATCCATCATCGTTGCGATGCTTGTTGAGCCTGTAATGAATGGAACTGGTAGTTTGATGTGGAAAAAATCCTTCTTGCTACAAGTTTTGTATGAATAAGTTGACGCCAGTGGTGTTGTACTACGGATTAGCCATGTTCCTTTTCATCTTTCAAGGCCAAAAAATGAAGAGTGTCGTATTCATCAATTACCGTGCGGAATAAGCCACGCATTTAGCTTCCGTTCAGCGTTTTAAGCTGGTTGAATGCGTAGTTGCCTCGTATGTTGACTTGTGGATCTCTGGAGATAAAGGTCGATGCATTCGAGAATTCAATTCAATAGTTTCCGGAAAAGTCTACGAGGATGAATCTGTGGCCCCTAGGTATGCCATACAGCGCTGTCAGATCAAAAAACAGACTTGGCAGGACGTAGCAAGGGCTACATTTTTATCCCGAAGCTTAATCTTCGGACAGAGCCACGTATAGTAGGATAAGTCGAAACAGGCAATTGGCACTGCCATACGCATGATCCTTTGGTGAAATCACGGATCAGGTCCCTTTTTGGATTACAGGGCCTTTACCTCGACTTATTTTGGAAATGCTAACCCAGCCCAGTACGAAGGAAGATGAAACATCCTTGCCTCCGCGAGCCACTGCTCGGATTTGCAGAGCCGAACTAGACAGTGTATTGGGGAAGCCGTTCAACCCAACCAGGGTTGGTGGTACCAGATTATTTTAAATGGAAGTTTAATACACGGCGTATCTCATGGATATTTCAGCTTATCCTATCAACTCTAAGTGAGCCTGGTCCAAAATGTTCAGTCAGTGACCGCATGCTGAGCCTTTTTTAAGGCATTAGTTCTCAACTAGTGAGCGCTATTATTATATGCGGTCTTTGGTCGATCTCCCACCCTCATCCACTTCAGTTCGTCCGCTGCCCATCTGGGACCAGCTCGATTTGGCAGCTCTCAATAGGAACTTGGCGCAGTCTAATTTGCTTCCAAATGCCTCATCTTATCAGAAAATTGAAGGCCGACGGGAAAGGAGGAATCAAGCTGCTCGTCCCTCTCAGTGTTAGGTAAAGTAGTTTGCTATATATCTCGTAACCTGTATAAAAGGATCGGAGCATTATCGATCTCCCTCGGAATGCGCCACGCACTTGCGATTTCCATTCGGAATCATACCGGTGATGGAATGTATGTGTTGCCTGTACTTGATAAAGCCAATTAATTGCATATCGGTGGTTTGTTCTCCTTGGAAAGTCCTGTACCAGTTTACTGCCCTGGAAGGATGGAAGCCTCGGATTTTTTGGGGATGACCATCTTTAACATTTTGATCTTGATCGATATTTGTTGAAGCGGCGCCCTATCGATTCCACTTTTCCACGTAGTCCTTTTCCCAATGCCATCAATCACTTGGCATCGTTCTTTTCAATTTTCTTCCAGTTCCTATTAATTTTTATTTCATTCCATGCTACCTCCTCCACTCTACTGATGTTTACTGTTTACTATCACTTGATACCGTTCTTTGCCGCTTAACGTCACTTAATACAGTTCATTCCGTCGAAGTAAATTTCTATGATTCTAATTGTTTTCTTGTGGCTGCTGCTGTTCTATCTCTTCAGCAATTATTGATTGATCGATCAACTGTGATTACCTCACTAAAAGACGATTTCCTGATGATAGATAGCTTTTCATGCCTTCCTCGGTGTAATACAATTGGCTTCCACAAAATCGTGCTTCCGACGTATCCGACGAGATATCCTAAACAATCAGAATTTTTTAATAGTACAACCCCTGAATATGTGTAGAAATTGAATAAAGAGCAATAACTAGCATTTTGGCCGTGCCCTGAGCAAAAGCCAAATTGATGAATATTCCCTGTGTCATTAGGTCCAAAAACATGACTTCGTAAAAGGACTTCAGCGTTTGTACGCGGTGCGTGAAGATGACTTTCGTAGTTTGTTTCAGTAGAGTTGAACAANCTGTCTATGAACCAAAACCTACACCATCGGCATGTAGCGTCGGTATGGCGCCACCCTTACGCACCATGTACGCATGTGGGCCGGTAAAAGTTTCCCAGCACAAGGCTACTCCTTTCCTAGACCAATACAGTGAAAGCACTAACCTTCCTAATAGTGATGCTGTCGTGCTTGAACCCGTCGATGATCGAAAGTGATGCACGCTCGCATTCAGCTGAAACATGAACTTGAGGAATAAACTCGAAGAGGGAAAAGTTGGAGAAAAATTCGAAATAAAGTGAAGATTAGGGAAATTCCGGGTAGCTAATGCGAAGATAATGGGCGGCGGTTAGAACCCCTCCTTCATTTGGATTTGATGGATTGTTTCAAAGGATGAATCCGCTTGAGTCAGCCCTCGTGTTTGGATAGCACCTGATGGTGCTGTGGCCTCGGTGCTCTCGTCGGGATGTTCAGTGGTCAAGGGTGAAGGGCCTCAACTCGACTAGCCGAAGTTGTACAGGGGAGTCTACCTAGTTTGAATGAGGTGATCATAGGGGTATCTCATGACCCGCACCTAGTTTATTTCCTGACCCGTAACTAGTTATATTTTTTGCCAATTGGGTTCTGATGCATCATAAGGTGGCCAAACATTTCACATTTCGTATGTACATATTTCCCATAACACCTAAGGGCAAAGTGGTTGGCCAGAAAAGGTCAGATGTACGGAAATATACGGTATCGAGCTGTTGTGGTAGAACTCACCGATCGTTGCGGACAAATGTAGGTGTGCTAGGCGTATGTAGACACGTTGTCGTGGCTCTACTCGGATCAACCAGTAACATGTCGCATTCCGCGGGTAAGTGACTGGATAACCGGGTGAGACGATCTCTCCTGAAAGTAATTAAGTGGAATAACGCCGCATTTTGCAAACAGGTGCACAGTTATTCCATGACTGTATGGAAACACTCATCTCGAGGAAACGATGGACTTATTCACTAGTCAGGAAGGAAAGTGGAACGATTCTCAAGCAAAGCGCACTACGGTCTCTTATTAGCTAGCACGAAGAGCAAAATGTTCTTCAATCGCTTCTCATTGTCAAGGCTTTTGGTTCTTTCATGGTGTCAAAACATATGGTGCTCTGGCACTCAATTCCAAGATTTCTTTCCATATTTTCACCATTTTTCCAGTTTATCTACATTTTCTCTTTCATGTGTGATGCCGAATTTTTTTTAGCCTTCCTTGAAGTCTTTGAGGACTAAATGTGAGAAGGGTTGAGTGCAGTGAGGCATTTCGAATAATCTTTCGGTCTCATGACCGCTATTTAAANTCGGGGTTAGGCCCGTGGATCCTTACGTATACAGACGTGAAAGTTTTACATACCAGTTAACTGCCCAGGTTTCGTTGCACCACCGCACTCACGAGAAAACTCTCTTTCATCATCTGGGAGATACGACGGTGGTTCCTTGATGAGACCTATAATATAAATGATTTAGGTAACCATACAGAGATAAACGAACCTTAATCCTTTGAGAGCGAGTAGGAAGGTGGAGGGGGTACGGTAAGATCCAGACCGGCCAAACCAAGAATGGGCTCGTTATGCGGGGTGGAATGAACGTAAACAATATGGGTTTCTCGATGTGGTCAAGGTACCGTTTCCCAAGGTGGCGGAAGCTGTGTAGTACGAACTGGTGCACCGGCACATTTATGATTTGGAGGTCCAGTCATGGATATTTGCCCAGGCCAATCAAGTCTAGCATCTCTCTGGAGTCGGCTGATTGGTTGACTGGGAGGTTAATAGCAAAGAGTTGTACGTCGGTTGGCTTTGCGAATGGAAATTGGATGGGGGTGCGTATCTCAAAACGGGATTCACCTCCAAAAGGTTTGGAAACTTCATCACACGAATGGAACTAGAAGTGAAGATTGCTTGGATCACATTCGATCCTATATGCGAAATATTGAGATTTTTAATTTTTATCCGGTTTCTTTGATTGATATATAGGTAAGCTACGGGGATGAAATGAAACTTTACTCGCTAAGGAAGGCAGGTGACAAGTAGCCTGAGCTGAAAGCCTACGACTACATGATGGATTATTTGGTACGGATTCGTCCATAAAAATAATCCAATGAGTTTTACCGTGGTGGTTAAGTATGGGTCGTTGTACAGCTCTGAAGTTCGTTGTACTCTTGCCAACTGCCACATTCGTCTGATTGTGATAGAAAAAGTTGTACACGGAGACGAATTGGTCCCAAGATGTCATTCTCAAGACGTCATTTTTGAGTGGCTACGCGTACTAGCATGAGAAGAAAATAAGAGCCAAAAATAGGTCTCCTCTCAAAATGGTTGATCAAGCAGGGCTTAGTGAAGAAATGCAGTTTTTGGGAATAAGGAAGAGCACGACTGCCGAAAATTTTCGATAGATGTGGATAGTAACTGCTGCACAACGATGAAACCATTCGGAATCGAGACAACCAACCTTCATAGATGATATCGTAGCGCAGACGAAATCCACGATGATGACGTCCTGGTGCAGTGGTGACAAACTGCACATAGACAGTTGGTTGCATCGTCTCGATCTTTGATGGCAAACTGGTTCCGCATAGACGATTACCGATGTGCTCTTTACCTAAATTTGACGGTGATTAGACTTCTTGAAAAAAACGTCCAGGAAACGGAAATCGGAACGGAGACGAATCAGAAGGCAGCAAATCTGACAAAGCGGCAAGGATGAAGCTTCAATTCCCTAACTATTATGAAATAACAAATACTATCCTTATCCCTTCATTCCTACAGGACTTGATCATGCATGGGCCCCATTGGGATGTGTGTATTAAGGGGGAATGTCTTCCACGTCTCCGAATCCATGTGCTAAAGATCGTTGCTGGTTCTGACCTGATCAGTTGTATAGGCATTAAGATGGCAGGGGTACGCCACGTCTTACCAAGCTCTCCAAAGCAGTAAGCATGATTGAAAGATCATATGCTATGTGTAGTATTCCTTGAGGCAGGAAAAAGGCGCCAGAATTCACTTAATAGTACTCACAACTTGCTGTTATTATTTATTTATTTATTTATTTGTTTTTTATTTATTTATTCATGAACATTTAGGAAAAATAATATGGTACGGTCCCGAGAATTTCCAGTTAAAATACATTCTTATAAATTGTCTGATAGTGAAGAGAGGATGGAACTGATAAATCTGAAGATTGGCTGTTGCCAGGCCGAGACCTCTACCATTTACCTACGACTTTGCAGAGTCACCGCCCGAACCGCTGTGATAACTAGGGTTCTTCTTGAGGAGGGCGAACTTTGATAGTAAGAGCATACTAGGACTGGCGTAGAGATAGCATTGAAATGGATACTACTTGGCATTCGGAGGAAACCACGGGGGACCCATGGGAAGACTTTTGACATACGGATCATTTTAATGGATAACCCGAGGGCAACACGCTCTTTGGGGACTGCAACAGCCTCGTCAACTACGATGCTGAGGCAAGTCTGATGGTGAGTTGTCATCTACCGCAGCACGACAGATAGAGAAATGGCTGGCCTGGCTCGACTAAATTGAGCTCACAACTCATCTGGAGTGGAGGAAATACGTCAAAATCGTCCTCGTCCGGGCCGTTTTTAGAGTTGTCTCCATATTTCGCCGAAAGTTCAAGTATAGTGTAAAGTAGTCATAGGTTCTCAATGTTGCATGCACGGAGGTAGACTCGTCCCAATTTCTCCCTCCTAGGCCATGTCTTTGACGAAAAAAGAATGATATAAAATTCGAAAAAAATGTATGGAATGAACCTCTTTTTTGGATTTCCTACAGTGTCTTTCCTCTTGACTCTTCCTCATCGACTGCAGAGTTCTCAGTGTTACATGTATGGAGGTAAACTCGTACAAATTTCCCCTTACTAGATCCTGCTACTTCAAGCAGCATAGTGTAATTCTTGGTCGTGCCACAGGGAGCGATTTGCTGTTTTCGCTGTTTTCATTGAACAGTGGGCGTGTAGAATAGAGTGGGCGGGACTTGTGAGGAGAACTTTGACCTGAGGTTCCCTATAGCTCTCGAGCTAAATGTTTTAGAAAAAAAAGAAACGAAGTTTTCCAAAGCTNAGAAACGTAATAAAGCGGAACTCGGAAGTCGGAAGCTCCGGAAGCGGAGAATTGGTGGGATTTATATGCTGAAGAGCTTTGCATGTTTCAGCTCCTAGCGCGATTGCCTTTTATTGAATTAAGAAATGGTCCCGGTAAGATTCCTTACCTAGACGATCGACGACGATCACCAACACATAGGCTTCGAGGCACTGTCCACTGTTTCTAAATTGAAAATCGATAGAATCAATATTACGCGATTGATTGATCGATTGACACGAACCTGTTGTTTTCGGCTAGATCAAATGATAAAAATGTGAGGTGTATAACATTGGAGGACACGGTTGATATGTTATAGAGACATGAAAGATCCGATCGATATGGTGTCGGAAACGCTGGCGATTCGAGCGTTCCTGAACGAGAAGCGATCGATAATCGATTTGCTGGTGGAATCGGCTTGAAAGTACTAATAATTTCCCATGAATTTAAAGATACAGTTCAGCATAAAAATGGTTTCTGAGATTCCCCCACAGGATGAATTTGAGGCCCCCGCGTGCATCATATCTGTCACTATTAGGTCGGAAAACGGCCTAGTTAGGGAGTTATAAAGGCTCAAAGATTGCACCGTGTGTATCCTCGGACGAGTTACACCGGCACTGTAGAGGCGGCACCGATCACAAGAGAACCCATGTGGGAAGTTTAAACAACTTGTCATGACCCATAGCGACAGTGAAAGACAGTTCTGTTCAGTTCTGGCAAGGAAAACTCGTCCGAGCTCCATTACCACTTTTTTTGAAAGCCTTATTTTCTTAAAATCGGCGAATTTACTTGCTTTTTTTCACTACCGATGAACTACTCTCAACCTATATTTCTGCTTTTCTGCCTTTCGACTAAAGGGGGGGGGGGATTCTTCAAAATTATCGTGAACTGTGCTTTTAAACGCGAAGTTCGAAGTTTCGATTGTGCATCGCACATAACTATTTGGCATTTTGTTTTCTCGAGGTAGACATGCAGATTAAAGTAGAACTCTGCTTCTCTGGTTCTAACCTCAAGTAATTGCGACGGATGAAAATTCAATTGGAGTGTTGTTCCGTTCATATTTATGTGGGAATAAGTCGGAAAATCGCTTTTAATTAGGGTTGCAACTTTTTGCTTGAAAAAAAGGCGTCAGAGATGAGGTTGATCAGCTTCTTTCGCCTCTTTGGCCCCGATCTCTTGTTTCTTATTTTTAAGCTGTTAGAAGTAAATTTTGAACAATTTTAGAAATGATGTGGAAGTTGGGCTGCAGTCATGACAGCGAAAATAAAAGCAATTTTCATTAATAACTATATCGTCAAACGGCAGAGAATTCGATTCTGATCTCTGCTTCTTTGGTAGAAGATGGAGCAGACCTACTTCCCTGGCTCAGTAACATAGGCTTTTTCAATATGGAAAGAGATACGTTCATAATACCAGAAACAACTGCAACCCATTCACGTTTATGTCAATGATACAGACACTGTTTTCCACTTCTCTGACGATATTTTCACCTGTACTTGGTCGGTCCGAGAATATGTGCCGATCGGGACATTCGGCCGTCGCCGTTCGTATGGCTGAGAACGCGAGCAGCCACACCGTCAACTGCCGCATCGAACATCGACCTATTCAGCGTTCGTCACCGTGCGGCATAGAAAGTAACCTGCAACAACGGTAATGTCGTCGCTCTTTGGGATAATGCGGAAATCGAAACACTGAAATCGGAAAGGTTTTTTTCCTCACAGAGAATCAAATTACAAAGGCGAGGTGGTAGGCGATCATAGGAAGTTATTCTATCAATACAGATGTTAAAGAGTGATGACAGTAATATCCTCACAACAACAGCGGTAACGTTGGTAATGAAGAATGAATCACAGAGGTTAGAGGATGGTCTTCAGAAGTCTGGCGTCAATCAATTTCGTCTAAAGGGGCGCCCCGCATTCAACTTTCATTCAGAATCGTAGTTGTGTATTGAACGCATGCGTGCCCTATGCAATGGCTTAAGGTGGCCAACCGATGTATAAGTCAGCGCTTTTAACCTCCCAGACGAATCGAAGGGATGGGAGGCTTGGTTGACCCATCTGTACCGATCTGAGATTCGAACCTATGACCATGCATATGTGATAGTGCGCTACTTTACACTACACCACTTTTGCCCATGATACTTAACAGCTCATTACACCGTGTATTTCACTGGAGTGAAGTGATATTGTATTCGTACTTGTTGATATGAGAAATGTCCATATTGTATGTAGGCATCGTGTTGCGAGAACGATATTTCAGATCGCAGCTAAGGAGGGACAGTGGCAAATGATTGAAATGTGAGTGGCTCATGGGTCGAGTTCAGAATCTATCCCGTTCTCTTCAACCGAGCTGAGGAACCCTCTGATGTGAGTTGTTTGGTAACCAGTAATAAGGAGCGAAAATGGCCACTTATTGGCCATTATATAGCTCTCATTTGTGAGCAGGTTGCGTTGTCAAACATTTTTATAAAGCTAATTGAGTAGCTCTACGGCCATTGCCTCTTCAAAGTTGGAAATAAAATAGTCCTAGGATCTGTCGCCACGAATTAGATACTTATTGATCAAGAGCTATAGGAACATGAAGTCTCGGTAGTGAAGGACATTAGTAGGAATAGTGAATGGAGTTCCCAGTAGGAACTTTTTGTATGACGCTTTAAGAACGCGGATAGACCGATGACGAATCTTTTGTCCTTTCATTCTTTCTGGCTAAGCCACTGACTGGAAATGCATGCTTTTGCGGGAACATTGGAAACCACTCTCCTTGCCGGGACCACATGAATTTTCTCGCAGTAGCAACGAATTAAGCTTTTTTTAAAGGCAAAGTTAAAAAATAGAAATGGTTCCTAATATTCCTGTATAGGATGAACCCATGACCCGGAAGGATAACAGGGGACGTCTCGGACCTGAAACGGCTTGGATAACACGGAGTACGGGCCTCAGAACCGGTTTAGTCGACGTACAAACGCAAAGGGACGAGTTCTCAAAGCTTGTAGAGGCTGTAGTGGTTGCACCATTCACATCGGGACGCAAATGTTGCGCGCAGGCACCTTACTGTAAACACTTGCACGCAATGATAGATCGTCCAAATAGCCCTTTGCCTTCTCGTCCAGCCCCTATTTTTACAACTTTCTTGAAGCCTTATACTTCTTTAGACATACCGCTTTTCTCTTTACTTTTGCACTATTCAATCGCTGGTCAATCGCTTCCATTATTCGTTTTGAACTGGATTTTTCAAAGTCATCGCGAATTGTGAATTTAGTTGTTCGCCCATCCCATTCTTCTTGCAAATGTTGGATTGAAACTTGTACGAGAAAGTCTTGGAAAAGAAATTTTAGAATTGGCATACAAAATTATTTAAAGACACAGTTCACGATAAAAACGGTTTCTGAGATTCCCCCACAGGATGAATTCGAGGCCCCACGTTTGCCATATCTGGCCTTATTAGGTCGGAAAACGGCCTAGTTAGGGAGTTATAAAGGCTCAAAGATTAACCCGTGTGTATCCTCGGACGAGTTTCACCGGCATTGTAGGGTATGCACCGGTCACAAGGAAACCCGTGTAGGAAGTTCAAACAACTTGTCATGACCCATAGCGACATGGACATAGTGAAATACAGTTCTGTTGAGTTCTGGCTTGATGTAGCCAGCTCTCTGTGCAATTGCAACAACTGAAATCTCGTCCGAATAACCCTTCCATGTTATTTCCGTCATGGCAATCTCGTCCAACCTCGACTTTGCCTACTTTTGAGGAGTCATATTTTTCTAAAAATTGGTGAATTCTCTCGCTTTCTTCACTACCGATGAATTATTCCCGATCTATACTTCCGCTTATCAAACAAAATCGGGTACCTCAAAATTACGTGAACTGTGCCTTTAAGTGGCAATAGAGAGGAAATTGTAAAAAAATCTATGTGAACCTGCCATGCAAGTCCGAAGCACACAGGATTGAGTAGCTAGCTGAAAGCTTGTAAGGACATTGTAGTGACTCGTTCAAAAGAAAGTTCGCCATGGGCTTCCTCTTGATTTCCTTGCTTTCCTCCGCACCGATGAACTACTCCTCATCAACACTTTCCCTCGTTAACCCGATAAGGGTTAAAGGGTGAAAGTGTAGTAGTTAGACAATAGTTTGATTGTAGTACCTTTATTGGGTTAAAGGTTGAAAGTGTTGATGAGGAGTAGTTCAACTGTAAAGAGAAAAGCGAGGAAATCAAAATGAAGCCCAAAATAAAACTCCTCATCGAACCGAGTATTTCCTATGATTGGACGAGATTTTGGTTTCCAATGTAGGCTTTCTCTCTCTGTTGTCGTAGCACGTCCATCAGACGTACCATAAATAGGTATTTTCACGATCGGCGTTTATCAGCTGGTTGCATTCATTACGAATGCTATCAGTTCCTACAAGGCAGCCGAACACGTCCTTTATTGGGAGTGTCGAGCGGCAACGTGCTGCTTTGGTCTACTATCTACTTTGGTGCCTTTTTTGCGCCTTACCTAAGTCGTTTTATGACACGGCAATACCCTATGTGGGCAGAAGAAATGATTCCTATCAATGAGGAATCTCTTGAATAATTTTTTCTGCTAATTCTGCCTTTGAATAATGCTCAGAGTTGGAAGTTTGTAGGATCACAGGACTTGTTCTAAGGGATCGTATATAGTTATTGAATAGGGAATCGCGGACTTCTGGAAATCTGGAATCTTCGAGGTGGAAAGTACGGGAACTCTGTTATCTTATGGTCTTTGGAGTTTGTTATTCTGCGGTTTTCCTTCGTACAGCGGGTAAATTCAATGAGTCCCGGGACNAATACCCTATGTGGGCAGAAGAAATGATTCCTATCAATGAGGAATCTCTTGAATAATTTTTTCTGCGAATTCTGCCTTTGAATAATGCTCAGAGTTGGATTTCCATTCAGAATCGTAGTGGCATATTGAATGCCTGTTGCCTACATAGTAACTTGCTCTGGCCAACCGATGTTCAAGTTGATGCTTTTTATCCTCCCAGGCGAGTCTGCCATTATCCGACCCCGGAGGAATGGAATTTGGTTGGCCTAGGTGGATATCGATCCGGGATTCGAACCGGTGACCATGCCTGTGTGATAGTGTGCCACTTGCCCCTATATCACCTAATTAAATGCCCCCAAAGAAAAAAGCGTTTGAGAAGGGAATGGAAGGTTTTTCTTACATTTTGTTAAAGAAAGTTTCGGGGAATGAAGGAAGTCGAAGCAAAGTATGAACAGTCGTTGCGTTGATAAGTAGGAAAAGGGCCATTATCACCACTTCTGAGACATTCCCTCGAAGAAATCTAAGGATGGTCTAAGCAGAAGTCAATCCTCGATACACCATCTCACGGCTTTATTTTTATTCCATCATCCATCCCCGAATTGGATCCAGACGGCTCACTATTTGGACTGGTACGAATTCCTATATCCTCATGTTCTGGCAGAGGCGATTTGAAGTATTCATCAGGGAAAAGTTATTGAGTTGTGAAGTCTGAATAAATAATCATCTCCGCGAGATGGAGTGGTCATTTTCGGGATGAAGAGAAGAGAGATGAACAGAGAATCAGAGAAAGTCTCCTCTCAAAAAGGCTAGAATGGAAGTACAAAAGGCAAAGAGGCGGATATCAAATGTGTAGGATGAGATTTCGAATGGCAAGCATCACAATGATGACTAAAGTACGTAATTACATGCACTTTACGACGAACCAACCATAATTGATCGGAGACGGCACGCAATGGGCTGCAACGATGAAATTCAATCAACGCCACGTGAATTTGCCATTCAAGAAGGGCTACACTCGCGAAGATCCACATAAGTACTATCTTCAGAGGATATAACATATAAGAGGCTGAAAATTGACCTTAGCAATGAATTGGCTATCCATAAAGCCAGGGACTTTATCTCATTGAAGGTGTCGCTATCCCTCAGGAGGAACGATGGGAGGAGAGAGGGTTCTGGCCAGATCCTCTGCGTTTGCGATGACGCTTGGACCATTTGGAGGACTATACATTCAATAGGCTTGGCTTTTTGATACCCGTGTATGTCACGGCAATGTATCGCGACGATAACGATGGAACACATCCTATCCTGCTGGGATAAGAACGTGGTTGATAGGTGATGGGTCTGACACTTAAAGCGACAACGCCCATAGTTTTGTGTAAAAGGTGATATGCTATCTCAAGTTTTATGAAGCTTTGACTATAATGTATGTCACGACGATGTTCGTGGAAGGGATAATCGAGCGACTTGTCGCGTTGGCGTAGGGACGATACCGTTGAAATGAGTATAAGAGAGGCGAAGCTACGCGAGTGAAGTAGTTTTTTGCAGTTGAAGAAAAAAGCGAAGAGGGGACCGCTACTCCAGAAGTATCCCACGGATAGATAGTGTGAATCTCGCTCGAGTCAGCTCCCAACTGGTCACGTACAGCTATTAAGGCTCAGCTCAGTATAGGCAAATATAATATGTAGTGACCCAGACAGCACCCTTCTATCTTCCCGGATGGTCTATAGCTAATTTATCACTTTTTATTTTTTAAGAGGTTCGACATTGTTTAGTTAAGATTTTGTCGTCATTTTTATAATATTCCATTACATATTTATTATAAAAGGGCGAAAGTGGTGTAGTGGTAAATAGCTCCTTATCACAAGCACATGGTCCGGAGATCGACTTCGGATCGATGTGCGTATAAACCAACCA